TATCCAGCCCAATCGCTTCTTTATAAACAAACAGTGAAAGTGTTGCTATTTCCGACAACCTCTTCCCAACCCTAACACTGCTCCAGTAGGACGCTGATTTTCACACTATGGGGAAAATATGACTAATTCTGCTTTGAGACCCCAAGTGTTACTTGCAAAACTATTTTGCTTCTAGAACAGACATTATATATAGTCAAAAGGAAAGTACAAAGGAGATAGATTTACATAAAATATGCATGTGGCAATCTGCATGTAAACATGCACATTTGGAAAATACTTACCATAAATTAAATAATGTGATGTAGTGCTTAGGGCGCTAGTCTGAGGCGGGAGGGACCTAAGTTCTAGCCTCCATTCAGTCATGAAGCCCACTGGACGACTTTGGCCAGCCACTCTTAGCGTAGTGCCTCACAGAGTTGGGGAAAAGGAGGAGGGTCATGTATGCCACTTGTGGCTCCTTGGAGGAAAGAGGGTGGGGTATAAATGTAATCAGCAAACAACACTGTACATCTCACCTCAGTGTTTCTCATGTGCCTACTGTCAATGGGCAACTTCAAGGCCCTCCCTGGTTTCCCTTTCTTACGATCCTTTAGAGTTAAACTAGACTGGGACAAGGACAGGTCTTCAAATAGAGGATGCCTTGAAACAGAGGATCAATCTTTGTAAATAAGGATATGTGTCTATCCTTGTTGTATCCCAGCCCAGTCAGACATCCATTGATGGGTGCCTAAAGTGTAAGTACACTTATGGACAGATGACTCAAACATGTGTTGAGCTTTCTGGAAGCCCCAGTCAAACACCCCAGGTGCAATAAACATAGAATCACTAATACAGAAATTAAGCTTTCCCACAACCTGCTTAGCCCAGTGGAATTTACATGATTGGAGCCACTATGGTATAGAGTACTGGAATGGGGCTTGGGAGACCCAAGGTCTAATCTTCATTCAGCCATAAAGCTCACTGGGCAATGCTTGGCTAGTCACTGACTATCAGCCTAATCTACTTCACAGGGTTGCTGTGAGGATAAAATGGAAAGGAAGAGCGTCCTGTAAGCCCCCTTGGGTTTCTTGTACAGAAAGGCATGATATAAATATCATAGAAATATATCATAAATCTTTAACTCAAGCTCTAGAAAGCCATTGTGGCATATGGTTAGAGTATTGTGCTGGGAGATGGGAGCTCCAAATTTTAGTTCACACTCGTCCATGAAGCTTATTCAGTGACTGTGGGCCATTTGCTGATTCACAGGTTAACTTACCTCACTTGGTTAGTTCACCTCAGTTGAGGATAAATTGAGAGGAGGAGGATTCTGTGAAGCATCTCAGTTTCCTTGCAGGAAACAAAAGATGGGATATAAACATAAGAAATAAGATATGTGCAGTAAAATATCACAGTATGAAAAGGTCCGTGTTCTTCCCACGCCAGCCATGCACTCTTCCAGGATATTCTATTCTAGTCTACTCCCTTCAGTTTTCCATTATTTCTCCAACAGGTAGCCAGAATTTTAAATCCAGTCAGTATGTTCAATCCCCATTGGAATAGGACTTCTCCGTTCAAGTTTTTTGTATGTGTACTTCTGTAAACATATGTTATAGCTTTCTCTTGTTTCCCTCCAACCCATTGCGGCTACAGCCCTGTTGCTATTAGAGGGAATAATGGACCTACAGTAAGGGTAACCTGATTCCCAAAGTGTATCTTTTGCTTCCATCTTTTTCATAGAACCCCGGGGTCTACTGATGTGATGTGAATGCTGAGTGCCTTTCCTCATATAAACTATGAGTATGCAGCCTGAATCCATTTCCCTGACCTATGCCTTTTTTCTCCCTTTTACTTCTTGATTACACAACAGTTCAGCACTACGAGTTCCCATAAGAGACTGCATTTCAGTCCTGAAGTATAATAGCGAAACAGCCTTCCTGGCACATCCAGAGATACAATCTAATTAACCCAGTGTAACATTGTATGTTCCTACGTCTTGAAAAAGAATTTCAGTTGAAATGGGAGTATCTGGGAATGAATAGAAGCTGTAGGAAACTTGCACTGTAAGCAAAGCCCCCAAATTGTGCCTAAATAGAATTGAAACTGACTAAATGTCAGATTTTAGACAATTCATCCTGCCTAAAAAGCATATGAAACTCAAAGAAGCAACATTTCCCAATCCCTAGAATTGTCCAGAGAAAAAGTTAGAAAATGCAAATATTATAAAAATGTAAGAATTCCCTTGTTAGATCTAATGATTCCAGGAGGGACTAGCCAGATGCCTCTGCAACCTCTGGAAGTGATTCCTCTCATGTCTTCCCAGAAACTACTGTTCAAAGATATATTTACCTCTGCACACAGGTACATGTTGCTATCAGACATAGACTTGTACTTATCCACAGCTTTTGTTTTCATTTGCACCGCTTGTTCCAACACAGTATTTGATATAGTGCCAGCTGGAGTTTCTTCTGAATGTGCATTATGGCATCAAGAGAGAACTATCTCCCTGTATTCCAGAGATTATAGAATTTGCTTGTTTGATCATTTATTTCAGCATTCCTAGGACTTCCTTTAGTGCAAAGTCTTCCCAAGGCGGCTTAGATAGAAACAACTACAAAGCACAGTTAACACCTTCCTTCCTTCCGGCCATCCATCCATCCTTCCTTAAACAGCAGTATAAAACTGAAGTCCCCAACTCAGGACTTATAAGCACATTAGGGAACTAGTGGCTGGCAGAGCCACTAATTAGTGGCTGGCAGAGCCACTACAAAATACCCAATTAGTGGACTGCTGCTTTGGTATCTATCTTTTGCAACTATGGATCATAGGCTTTATCTTGTTCAGCAAAAACTTTTGTTTCCGTTCTATTTGACATTCCAATTTCTCTTTAATAAGTGATTTTCTCATTCTTGTAGTTGCTGGCACTGCAATACAGCTAATGCTTCTTTTATGTTTTGGCTTTGTCCAGTAGTTGCTTCTTTTTGGAAGAAGGTTGTTACACCAATAAATTTTATACTGGAATTGTCTTTAATATTCACTGATGTAAATACTTTTCAAAACTATTTACCTGCTTCATGGAAATTAACAACTGGCTACTTTAAATGGATTTTCTGCAGATTTTTGATAGCTAAAAAGCTGATATTCCAACATTGGAAGGTTGAACACTCACCTCCTATAATGCAATGGATTGAGGCCCTTGCAATGCATTCAGTAAGTGAAGTGGAGGCATATAGATGCCAACTCCCAATAGATACATATTTGGATATTTGATCCATTTTTGTTGAGCCATATTTATAATTGTTAGCAAATGTATGGAGAGCCAGTGTGGTGTAGTGGTTAAGAGCGTGGGACTGGGACTCAGATGATCTGGGTTCTACTCCCCGCTCAGCCATGGAGCCAACTGGGTGACTTTGGGCCAGGCACAGACTCTCAGCCCAACCTACCTCACAGGGTTGTTGTTGTGGGGATAAGATGGAGGAGGAGAATGATGTAGGCTGCCTTGAGCCCTTTGTAGGAAAAAAGGCAGGATATAAATCCAAAAATAAATAAAATAAAATAAATAAATTTCATACATACATGTACACATAATTAAAATAGGGGGTGTTTGTTGATTTTCTATGGGCATTATGCTGTGGACTCATTCACAGTTGCCACTGGAGGTCCCTGCAGTTGTCATGGCCCTTCAGGCATCACTTTGCATATCCATGGTCTACATTAGCCAGGACAAGAACATTATAAATTCAACTAGAATCAAAGCCAGTTTCAGATCATAGCCTTTAAAGGGAGGGCCACTCAAAATACATAGGTTTTCAAAGTGAATTTAGAAGTCTGATTGGATAGAGCTATATATGTATGCACTCAGGGGGAAACTCCATGACTTTGGAGCCATGACCATGAAGGACACATCTCTCATGCCTACAGGTAGACCTACAAGTAGGCCATCTAGCACTGCTCTCAATCCCAGGCCATACCAGCAAACATAATCCTTCAGATAATTTGGTCCCAAACTACATAGTTTTAAAGACCAGCACCAGCACTTCAGACAGGGCCCAGAATTGCACTGGCAATTGGGGCATTGGTACAATATCAGTGTAACTTGTTCCATTTGCCATCACATGGGCAGCCACATTTTCAGGAGCTACAGTTCTTTAGCCTGGAGTCTAGGACTATAATTGCAACTTCAATAGGTTTGAAATCTTGTACATACTTCCATCTAAATAAATATGCATGTGTTAGGTTAATCAAAGAATGTGCATTTTCTAAAGGTACACAGAGATCAAATTAATTGTATGTCTATGTAATATGAAAAGTTCTAAGAAATGGCGAGGAACAGAGTACTCATAGAACAGTGTGGAACAGATAAATATATTTATCAGGTTAATTCAGGCACTTAAAACCAACAAGAAAATTTATCTGTTCCACTGAAACAGCTGAGTTGTAGCTGTCTATCCAAGAGTATTAAGGGATAGCTAATACATATTTAATTGCCTTACAATGAAGCTATTTCCTTGTGGTGCTATTTTTGTCCAATTAAAATATTTGCATTGATTTGTATTTGGGTATTTCATGTTGGGGAAAACCTTGACATTTTGCAAGACTAGTTATACAAAACAGAAAAACTATTTGCCTATTGCTAGCCCAGGTCTGCAGAGACTTAAACAATGGAAAGCCATTGTCTTCCTTTACAAAAAGCACATATAGGTAAAGGAACAAATATTATGATAATGGAAAAGCACCTTTTGGGGTTTCCATCTTAGCTAACTTAGCACAAGCATTCCCTTTTTACCACATCCATATTTACAAGAATTAAATGTGGAAAAAAGAGAGCCAAGAAATTCTGCAATTTTTGAGGGAGGGCACCCATTTAAAAAAAAATCCCAGAAAGGAAGAGGTTGACCTTTGAAAATTCAGCAGTGATATCCTGTGGGAAACAGGAAGGAAGCTGGAGTATAAAATCAAGGGCTAATCAAGGTGATGGTCAGTTCTGACTCTTTTGCCTCTTGCAAAATCAAGCTGTACCACAGAGGAACTTTCTGAAGACATGAAGTCTCCTGTAGCATTTACTCTGCTCTTTCTGGTGATCAGCTTCAAGAATGCGCATCTGCAGTTCCGTGATGACTGCAAACATTTTGCAGACAACCTACCTCGCAGACTCCGTGAGCTAAGAGCCACTTTTAATAAGGTTAAAGATTATTTTGTGAGTATGATCATCTTTTCTTCTAAAAGTTTCTTTTGCACTCAGGATTTAGGAAGAGTAAAAGGAGAAGAGGCTATGCAGTAATTTTAAAGATTGGGATGGGTGAAAGTTCTGCTATTTGCTGGTGGCTAAAAGAAATAGTTTAGAACATGAACTACCAAGACTCTGTGCAAGTCCCACTAAAATGGGTGAGAGATGGACAACTTTTTGGTTCATTTTGTTTCAAAAATGATAGCTTTCCAGCTGCACTTGGCAGCGAAATAGGCAACTGGTTAATAGGCCATTCTCCAGTTTAAGGATTGATACAATTCTAAGTCAGTTAGGATAGTTATGTTATAATGACTGACACAATTTGGGAGATGGTTAACATTAACATGAAAGGTTGACAGTCACAGATAAACTGTGAATAGCTGAAAGTAGAGATATTCATTTCCCCATTTTAAGACATGCATGAGTGAAGGCTATCAATGACAGTTATTTTTCAGAGCTTTAGAATATCTCAGTATCTGAAAAATGTACATTTCAGCATCAACCAAATTGGAGGGGTTCACAGTAACATATATGCAACCTGTGCAATTAGAAGCTTGTAGCAACAATGTAAGTCACAAGTATTATCTGACAGTGGAAACAGTGGGAGATCTGTCATATTAGAAGTTGTCTCAAATCTGAAAGTTCAGAGGAAGAAGACAATGTTAATTGCTCCTTGCTGATAAGTGAAAGCAGCATTTCTGGCTAACTGAAAATCCTCACTCAAGCTTCCTTATATTAATATAACTGTCTTCTCTCACTGCATGTCTTTACAGCAAAGCAGAGATGATGAGCTAGACATCCTATTGCTAAAAGAAGATTTGCTTGAAGATTTCAAGGTGAGATTTCAGGTGTCTCCAGCACATTCCTTGGAAATGACAGTGTTGCTCACAGAGGTCATGGAAAGGTGTTTGTAGGATCATATTGTAAGAAAGTGAGGCAACTGCTACCATTGCAAAAGCAGTAATTGACTGGCAGGCAGAATGACTGCATGTATAATTAGGGTATGAGGACTAATTTAGAAAAGCAGAATTCACTCTACTTTTCTCTAACACATAAGGCTTGAATGTCTTTCTTTTTAAGATAAAGAGAAGTAGTAGTGAGCTTCAGATGCCTTGTCTTTGGGAAGTCTGAGCAGTGGGGACCAAAGAGGTGCTTCCTCAGTAGTGTTATATTTTAAGGATTAATTTAGATTGGTTAGGGTTGCTGTTGTTGTTGTTGTTGTGCACTGTGCTTGGTATTGGTAACAGTGGAAAGATGGTATGTAAAACTTAATTTATATATACACACACACACACACCTTCCAACTTTGAAAGTCTATAGATTGCTATGGAATGTTGTCTAGAAGATGTTCAACAGCAGAATGAGACAACTTAATTTTGTCTTAATCCTCTTAATAACATAAGAATGTAAGAACATAACGGCATAACATACAAAAAGTCATGCTGGATTACTCCAAAGGTTCATCTAGCAATCTGCACACATGGGCACAAATTAGAATTAGTTACCTGCAGGATCCTTCAAGCAAGGTGGGTGCAAGACCTCCTCCAGCCCAGTTCCAGAAAAGGAGGAAGCACATAGCCAGCAGGGCTAGGAGCTACTGATAGTCTCCTCCCCCATGAATCTGTCCAATCCCTTTCTAAAGCCATTCGGATTGGTGGCCATCATCACTTCCCAAGGCAACGAATTCCACAATTTCAGTCCTTTCTGCTCCCAAGACACAATTCAGTTGTCTCCTTCTGTTGGTGAACATCTTCTGGACAGCATTCTATACAATCTATCAAGTTTGTCTGTATTCCATCTTCCAGACAGCCTTCTGTACTGCAGGCACAGACACACACACACACACACACACACACACACACACACACACACTAAACCAGATGATGGGACAAGAAATTGCTGAAAATCCTCTCCTCCCCATTTTGCTGGTTGATATCATCACTGGACTGGCCAGTATTTGATGGGATGCAATGCAGGCACAAGCACTTTTTTGCATTAGATTCCAAGTCTGTAAAAGTGGCTGGAGGAATTATAGTGCTTTCTGACTTACCATGTAACATGGGGAAACTATGTTAGTAAAGAAAAATGTTTTAAATCTAGAGATTAGTCAAATTTACATTGTAATTAATGAAATAAAGATCCACGGAGTCAGCTGATTTCTTTAATTTCTTCTTCATGAACTTTTACTGTTCTCCTTAGGGGTACTTGGGATGCCAGTCAGTGGCAGAAATGATCCAGTTCTACCTGGAGGATGTTTTGCCAAATGTGACCACCAGCAACACTGTTGGAAAAGATGTAGGCTTCCTTGGAAATATGCTGCTGGATCTGAGACAAACAATCAAGCGCTGTGTGAGTATTTGCATTTCCTTTGCTAGACCACCTGCTGTCAGGGTGGCTATTCAACAGAAGCCTGCTTCTGTTGAATAGTAAACGATTCATTCGGAAAGCAGATTTGCCCCAATATGGCATCCAGTAGTGCTGAGAACCTAGAAACAAACAATAGTAATGTTATTTAGCATTATCATTCCATAAAATGAACAGACTTCTACATGATCAGGGACTTTTTTAGAAAGAGAAGGGATGTAACTGTAGAATGGCTTCACTTTCTGACACTGTGACTTCAGATATTCAGTAGTTCCTGCTTATAGTCTAAAAATCAGACGTATAGTAGAACTGCATGCAGAACTGTTGTGATGACTGCAAATGCTCTAAGCATTGTTTAAGTGTAGAATGCAGAATGATACCATTGCCATCTCTTCATGTAGTAGTAGAGTCAGAACACACACCTACTAGAATTTTTTAGCCCATTTTAATCCAAACTTTGTGCCAAAAATACTGAAGCAGTGATACATGTTAACTATGTTTCTGCTACTTAACCACAGATTTATCCAGAGCAATGAAACTTCCAAAAACCAGAAATTCAGCTCAACCTGTCCTCCAGCTTTTGAGATTTCACTGAGTAATCTCTATAAACTTTTAAACTTGATAACCCTGAGTTTCGGAAACCTCTTTTTTTAAAAAAGGAAAATGTACCCAAACTTTTCTCAGTGCTCAATTCTACTCAATTCTACAATTCTTTCCACATTTGCACAGGGTTGGGCACAGCTGTATTCATCAAGTAGTGAGGCCCAATACCTGCTTCAAACTTGCAGTGGCTACAATGGTGACCAAATCTGCAGGTTCATAAAGAGAAAGATTAAGACAGGTGATACACAGAGTGGAAGCTGGAGAAATGGATAATTTACATCATTATCAGATGTGAATTAAATAGTCTATGTTAAGTGTTGAAGTCTCCCTTAAAATACTTAATGTAAAATCCTTACCTAATAGCAGCTGCTACTACAGCCTGCGAAGACAGAACTACAGCTGGCAGTGCTGTTCAACCCCACATCCCAAAAATGCTTTGCTGTGGTATCCTCTTCACTGTGTCATTTGGTCACAGTATGACTCAGACAGCAAACTTGCGAGGCCATAATGGAAATCTTTGTGCCTAGCTGATGAGCTGGAAGTACGTCTCTCTACTCTCTTGTTTAGCACTAATAGTATTAATCAACTTACTCACTAGAGTGAGTTGGACCTTTCCCAGAGAGGAAACACCAGAAAAGGGCATTTGTACTGGAAGCAAAGCAGAAGCTCCTTCTGCGTCTGACTTTGACCTAAGTGGTACTTGACTTGAAAGAAAGAAAGAAGTAAACACTATCTGTTCCTCTAAGAAATTTGAATACAATCCAATAAGCAGTGGTTTTAAAAAGCAGGAGGAAGAAAGCAGGCTTGTACAGCAAACAATTGTGGTTTGAAGTGTGAGCTATGAACAAAGATGCCTTTCTTTCAAATCTTTTTTCAGCTGAGAGTTCACTATTGTTCTATCAGTGTCAACTGACAGGATTTGTACTGTCTCCCTCATTATGCAGTTACCTATTTACTAAAATATAGCAGAGATTCTCTGCTTTATTTCCATTTATAGCTGGTGTTTTGCTGTCAGTAATGCAAGAAAGAGCTTTTCAGTACCTAGATTATGTAACTCCTTATGAAGTAAGGTCAATCTTGCTTCTTCTTTGGCGCCTTGATTAAGACTTTTTGTTCCCTACAAGCATTTGGCCCACTGGGTTAGTACTGACCTGTTTAATCATGGGTTTTGGTTGTTCTAGCTGCTCTGCTTTTAAACTGCCATATTAATATGTTAGTTAAAGGTGCACAAATTTTTTATTGCACTCATGAAACATTTAGACAAATGCTTTCACAATCCAGAGTGCAAATATGAAAACGTGGTATATGCATTTCTGAACTTGTAAGGCATTGCTGAATGGGGAAAGTGCACATTTTCTAAAATGTGCATTGAAAATGTAGATTTTTTTTTTTCCCAAGCAGAAAAAGAAGATGTTTGTGGTCAGGAATGCAAATGGGGTGAACTGAACTGAATTCAGACAGCCTTAATAAGCTTAAATAGTTCATGTCTGCTTTCCCGATTTCATTAAACTATAGTCTGGATATATTGTGAGCTACTCTGAGCTTTGAGGAACAGAAAGACATTATTTTACATGCTTTTAATAAATAGACAATGCTACTTTGCCTTAAGAAGCAATTGAAAGAATCATGCATATAATGTTGGCAATAGCTACAGAAGCTACTTGCATAAATATGCCAAGTTGAATCCTAGGATATCTGGGGAAACGAGATTCAATGGGAGCTTTCTGCCTATGCGAATAGCAGATATGGCCCTGTTCACTCTGGATCAGGACTTTAGCATGGGGCAAAAGGTTAAATCTTTCCTACACACCCCACATTTCTGGGGCTCAATTAGCTCGCTCTAAGACCCTGTACTAAGTATTTGTGAAAGAAATATGTTGCACTCAAGGGCAAAACACAGGACTGATGCAACATGCAGTTTGGACTTTCATGGGCTTCAATATCTTGCTTTCCAGGGAGCCCTATGCAGAGCTAACCCTGTTCTGAAGTACGGTTTAGCAAGAGGTAGGGGACTTTGGGGGGATAGATGAAGGCAGACTATTTATTCATAAAATGTACATACCATTTAATGTTTTCAAAATGATTCACAGATCATGGGTGTCTAAATGGTGCACTGAAACCTTTAAAAGTGCTAGCCCTACTCTTGGGGAAGGCAACATTTGCTGTTCTGTGTCATCCATCGACATGGACTGAGTTGGCACTCACCTTTGTGACTATTACCTATGGAGAGTGTAAGGCTCTAGCAGAGAATCCCTAGCACTTCACTGAACTACAATTCCTAGCCTCCTTTGAGGGAGGCTGTCACAGTCCCAACTACTTTAAAACTGATGTTTGCAAGGTGGTTTTGCCCATACTTCAGAGTCAAATGAAAGAGAGAACAAAGACTTTGCACTTTTAATAGTTGCACAAAAGAAATTGTCTTCAGGAACCCTAAGAGGTGTGCCTGTTCAACATGTTTTTCCCCCAACAACTGAAAAAATTACAGAAGCCCTATCCTCTTTGACACCAGGACCTGTACATGAAATAAACTAGTATGCAAAGATGTGTTCTTGTGCTGTTGAAGAATTTTACCTGAAAAAGAATCACACACACACACAATTTAGCCTAACAGTTTTTTGGTAGTAGTTGTACAGATGTTCATGTCCCTTCAATACTATGTCCTTCAGCTGTATTGTAATCTGATTAGCTTCCATATCAAATATACAGAATTTTTCATTTCCACACCAGGAATGAGGATAAATAATGGAATCATTGTGTTAAAAGGAGATAATCAGCACAAAAGTAATAAAGTTTTGTAAGAGAGAGAGAGAGAGAGAGATTAGACTGCTTAAAAAATTCTTCATATATTGAAGGCAGTGCAATAAACCTCTGCACACAAACTGGAAAAAAAAGCATATGCCCATGGTGTACTCAAAACTCACATACAGGGCCCCTCTAGTTATGCACAACTATTTACACACAATCACCAGCGACTCTGGATTTTGATGCCCATGCCCATCAGCATCAAACATGTGTCACACATAATCAGTGCAGCCTGACTGTCATTGCTTTGTGGATCTGGTTATGCCTCTGCATTGCCTCCATGCGGAGGAATTCAATGCATCAGTGCATCTCCCTCAGTGAATGGGGGCTACACCTGCTAGACCTTGCAGGGCTTTGATGATGCAACTGAACAAAGTAACCGATTTCATAATCCCTGTGTTTCCTCTTTGCAGCATAGGTTCTTCATCTGCGAAAGGAAGAACAAAGCAATAAAGAACATCAAAGAAACCTATAAAAAGGTAGGCTCCTCGCATCCACATGCTAAACTTTATGACTCTTCAGAACTGAAAGTCATTTTTGCCACTGCCTTTGAGAGACTTTACACATTGTGTGGGAAACAGGGAGTGTTGCCGAGTCATGCTTCCTCTGCCAATACTTCTGGGGTAATGTATAACGTGAGGGCCTGATTCACAGCCCAATCATGTATCCTTCCTGTATCAAGTGTTTCCTCTTAGCATGCACAGCCATCCCTGGATACTTGCAAGATTTTAGGGTTTAACATGTGAAAAGTAGGAGAGAACCGCATTTCCAGATGACCTTCAAGTGGACTTCAAGGAGGAGGAGAAGGGCTCACTTCACACAGAGCAGGCATGATAAGATTTTCCCATGCAGAGAGGCATCTAGCCTGCCCAGGTTGCCACTGGTAATAATTAAACCATGCACACAAACCAGTCATACGTGCAGCTTAAATCGTTCATTATGTTTGCCAGGTTTCTCACTCATATTGAAAATACTACACTGCCTAGTCATTTTAAAAGGACCCTTTCATTTCCCGTCCCCTGCAAGGAACTTGAGGGCTGCATCTGCCTGGCTGTACTTGACATCATATCAGTAATGCATGTAAAGGACTATGTGGGGTGGTTGATTCACATGGATCCTTCCTGCCTCAGCGATTTGGTTTACTATGCCAGAAGATGCACTCAGGAGCCCTTTAAGAAGCCAGTGGCTTTTTAAGCTTTTTTCTTTTGAATGCCTTGTTCACGGAAATGGATTTTTGTCGCTGCTGTTGTTGAAGCATTTCCCACTTTTTTCCTTTCCTTAAACTGACATTGATAAAGGACAGGGCAGGATGCCTAGTCTTCATATGTGTGAGTAAAAGGTTCATAGAAAGGATCTGGTTTTCTTGATCTACTAGTCTCCTTGCTTTCCCATCTAGCCTCCCTCTTCGTTCCTTGTTCCTACCCTGTCCCACGACACTCCTTGCCAACAGTATTTAATCTTCACCAAGTGGAATAAACCTGATCAATAATACAGGTCTGCAAAAAGCAAAGCTAGCATTATTGATTGTAGACCTATTTATTTGTCAATATATCATTACTACTGTAGCATATCACCATTAGTAACTCTCTTTTGTCCTGTTCCTCTTTAGCTGCATGTCAAAGGCATCTACAAAGCAATGGGAGAATTTGACATTTTCATCGATTATATTGAAGAATATCTTAGAATGAAGATGAGAAATTGAACCTATGTGTTTTTCACAATGACTGAAAAACTTATTTTTACTATAATGCAGCCTCTAGGTAGAAAACTTTGTTATACTTTGCAAAAAGTGTTATAGAAAATCTATGAATAGTGTATAATACTATGTACATGTTTTTAACTTAAACTATTATTTATTAACTCAGATACCTCATTTTTTGCAAATACTTTAGATTTTTCAAAATGGAAGGCTGGTTACATAATTTATTGATAGGTATTTTTTTATATAGAGCATTATATATGCTGGTTTATTTTCATTTTAGTTTAGGGATGCTCAAAGTTGCTGGAATTCCTTTCTAAAAAGTAAACAATAGTTTCTGAGTTGAATCTATATTATGTTTAAGTCTGTACTTCTGGATTTAAATCTGAGCTCTATGACCTGAAGTCTAAAGACAATTTCTTCATTTAAGCCTTTGAGATGTCTGTTGGTCCAATATGCATAACGGTGATCAGACTGAGATCCAATGGTGTCAGTACACTGACAGAAGGATCTTTAATTAAGTGGAGGCATTTGTTACTGAAACTGACAGGCAGCAGTTTTCATTTATTTCCCCCTTCCTACTGCAACACCTGCCCCCAACCCTTAAAACTACACTAGTGGGTTGTTGGACTCTTCAGAACAACGTTGGATATTGTGAAGGAGCTGCAGGAGTGAAAGGAAAATCACCAAATGCTGCTTCCTCCCCATTCCCCTGACTGAAACTTTTTCTAGTTCAAAAAGTCTTTTATCAACAAAGACACACTATCTGCTGTAACCACTGGCAAGTTCTCTGCTAGAAATTAGGAATTGTCAGTTGAGACTACAGCCAGGCTATTTTTTGGAACAGATAACTGGGCACATTTCTTCACAAGGCTTAAAGGCTCCAAGCTAATTTCTGGGCATACCTGAGGAAAGTCTAAATTTGGGGCTTACTTTTTAAGCCATTCATGGATTGAGACACTGACACCCAAGGATCACCTCCCACATTATCTTTCCCATGCATTCCATTGCTTTACTTCAAGTATTTTCATTTCCTGAGGTGAGGTGGGAAGCTTTCTTAGTTGAAATTTTGTGAAATTTTCTTCCCAGAATGTTTATCTATTGCCTATATCTTCTGTTTGTTGTTTTATGTGCTGTACATTGTTTATGTACGTTGTTTCCAACATATGGTGACCCTATGAATGATAGTCTTCCAAAAGTCTTCCAGGACAGCTCTGATCAGGTCTTCCAAATTCAAGTCTGTGTCCAAATGGAGTACGTCCATCTCATAATAGGTCTTTCTTTTCTTCTTTGACCTTTGACTTACCCTGTCATGATTGCCTTCTCAGAATGTGCCCAAAGTACAACAGCCCGTTTTGTCATTTTTGCTTCTAAGGAAAACTCTTTTAGGCACTAGCAAATACCTCATTATTCTCTTTGGCTTTTGAAAAATAATTGATCTATTTTTATCTTTGCTAGGTTATTTTCAATGCAGACTTCATTTTGTTTCAGATTTTATGTTGTTTTGAGTATACATTTGATAGTAACCGTCCCTGAATTGTTTTTAAATGAAGGGTGTTATTAAAACGTTGTGAACTGCTCAGGACAATGGACCAATATGAATTGAAATGTTTTAAAATTCAAGATAATGGGGGTTGGCTCATGGTAAAATTAAATGCAACCATTCGAAGTATTAATGAATAGTTCCATGCTGAATGTAGCTCCTATTCTACCACCATCAAAGTCATGCATCTGTTGTGGATCTGGAGTCCTATTTACTTTATGTATCATATTATCATCAGAGCTTCAATTCTTTTACAAAAGGAATGAAACATTTGTCCTGCATCAGAATAACTTTTTAGACTTTAAATAGTTGAGTGGGCATATGTCAGTGCAGCCCAAATAATTATCGTGCATACATTCAAGGAAATGTGGATGCTTTTGTTTATGTTCAACACATTCTGAAGTCACTAGTAAATTCTGTAATAAATACTTCAAAAAAACCCCCTCAGCTCTTGACTCATATTGATGTTACAGGACATTCTGTGCTTTGGTGGGGAAGTATGAAACTTGGAAAAAAATGTCATCCCTTATAAGGAGTAAGTCAAATTGCCATAGGTCATCTATGAGAGCCTGTCCTGGTTAATGGATGGTATAGAATTTAAATAAATATAAAAAATATGACTTGGTTTATAGAACAATGTAATTTTGCCTTGCGTGAATTTGATACAGCATATGCAATATGCATTCTCCGGAAAGATCAGTCTTGGAGCCATCCTCTAAAATGGCATCCATTTATGTCATTTCATATAGCATATAAGCTCAGCAGTTACAGAGTAAGATAATTCCAGGCTATTTCACTGACTAGACAGGAAATGCTGGGAATTACAACTAATTCCCAGTATACTAGTGTGCATCTCAAACCCACATCTCTCTGAATAGCCAACAGTGTGTCGTTAAGTCTATGTACTTGTGTGGTGATTACACTGCGGCGCCATGCTTTTTACATACATCAGATTTTCTGACGTCCAAAAGATTTGAAAATAACATGGGGACAAGGTAGCAGGACATTGATTTAGACATGTTAACATGCATCCCCTGTAAAGAATGAGCAATGAGTGCAAGCATATTTATTTATTTATTTTTCAATATATATCCTGCCTTTTTCCTACAAAGGGCTCAAGGCAGCTTACATCATTCTCCTCCTCCATCTTATCCCCACAAGAACAACCCTGTGAGGTAGGTTGGGCTGAGAGTCTGTGACTGGCCCAAAGTCACCCATTTAGCTGCATGGCTGAGCGGGGACTAGAACCCAGATCGCCTGAGTCCCAGTCCCATGCTCTTAACCACTACGCCCACACTGGCTCTTCCAAATTATCTCATTTGGAAGCACACTTAGGAAACAAAATAGCCTAGAAGAAATGTCAGGTTATTATTCAATGAACCATATTATTCAATGAACCCAAATGTCAGGTTATTATTCAATGAACCATATTATTCAATGAACCATATCAGGAACTAACTTTGTGCTATTCATTTCAATAGGTCCATTCTAAGTAGGCTGAACACTGGATTGTGCTTTCATCTGTACACAGCTAGGGTTGTAGCCAAATTAAAATATATTACTGTTATAATACAGGTCTCATTTTGTGCATGGAGATTTTATGCAATTCTTTATCAGCATTTCAGAGCAAGCAGGAAGCAATGGGAAACATTTGAAAAGTTATGTTAACACATGACTCAAACAGCACCTGCATGAACTGCTTTATCTTTTTCTTTGATCTGAAACTAGGCTACCTTCAGATACTTTAGAATTTGTTTTCCCTATTGCACACTACCTCTTGCCATAAGTTAAACCACTTGCATGATACAGAGTGGAGTCTAATTTGGGAAACGTGCAAGACATTGACGTGTTGAAAGTATAGTTGCTACAATCCATCAGACATTCTAATCTATGGGGACCCTACATTGCCCTCAAGACAAAAGTCAACATACATGTGGGAAGGAGATAATTAACTCATCCATAACTGCTACAGATCACATTTGTGAAAATCCCACAATGTTTTTCAAAGTGGAATATCATACTATTGCCATTATAACAAATGCTGAACAGAAAAACACCACACATTCTATGACAAAGATTCTATCTCCATCTTTCTTGTGCATCAGGTTCTCCCTCTCCAGGTTTATGTAATTCTTGCTGGATTTTGCTATGCTGCTATCTACCCAGTTCTCCAGTTTACCTTAACAAAAGTGGATCAACAAGACGAGTTTTGTAGAATCTGCAGATAAATGTCTCCATGAAACTCATGCATAAAGATTTTGAAAACTGTCAAAACCACAGTGATGCTTGTTGGATTTTCTTTCCAAAAATCACTTTTCTTTCACACAGTTAATTATCAGCTTTTGAATCCATTTCAACTAGCTACATCTCATATCAGGGGTGAGCAAGCTGTAGCTTCCCAGATTTTGTTCCACTCCATCTCCCTTCATTTCTAGATGGCTTAGCCACTGGTGCAGAGGAGTGCTGGGAGTCACAGTCCAGCAACACTGGAGAGGGAGCATAAGCTGCTCACATCTGATCTAGATCCAGAAATTATACCCACATGATACCCCAGGTGTAATTGCCTGCATCCTCATCCACACTCTCCTGGGCTGGGATCTCTATTCTTTTGTTGTACAAGTGTATGACATGGAAAAGTGTGGAAACCATAACAGATTCATCAGAATTTTAGATATAATGCAGAATATTAAATGCACCCTCCTTCATGGATTACTGCCTTGTCCTGGTAAAGGGGCTTGCATAGCCCTGCCTATTTAGCTTATATGCAGAGCACATCATGAGAAAGGCGGGGCTGGATGAATCACCAGTTGGAATTAAGATTGCTGGGAGAAATATCAACAACCTCAGATATGCAGACGATATCACTCTCATGGCAGAAAGTTAAGAGGAACTAAAGATGCAGGTGAAGGAGGAGAGTGCAAAAGTTGGCTTGAAACTCAACATTAAGAAAACTAAGATCACGGCATCCGGCCCTCTCACTTCCTGGCAAATAGATGGGGAAAAATGGAGGTAGTGACAGATTTTATTTTCCTGGGCTCCAAGATCACTGCAGACGGGGACTGCAGCCAAGAAATTAAAAGACGCTTGCTCCTGGGGAGGAAAGCTATGGCAAATCTAGACAGCATACTAAAAAGCAGAGACATCACCCTGCCAACAAAAGTGTGTATAGTCAAGGCTATGGTTTTCCCAGTTGCAATGTATGGCTGTGAAAGTTGGACCATAAGGAAGGCTGAGCACCGAAGGATTGAGGCCTTTGAATTGTGGTGCTGGAGGAGACTCCTGCGAGTCCCTTGGACCGCAAGGTGATCAAACCGGTCAGTCCTAGAGGAGATCAACCCTGACTGCTGTTTAGAAGGCCAGATCCTGAAGATGAAACTCAAATACTTTGGCCACCTAATGAGACAGTAGGACTCCCTGGAGGAGAGCCTAATGCTGGGAACAATAGATGGCAAAAGAAGAA